TTCTTACACAACCTTAGGTGGACCTCCAAGGTGTGTCTCTGACACTCCCTACACAACCTTAGGTGGACCTCCAAGGTGTGTCTCTGACACTCCCTACACAACCTCAGGTGGATATCCAAGGTGTGTCTCTGGTACTCCCTACACAACCTTAGGTGGACCTCCAAGGTGTGTCTCTGACACTCCCTACACAACCTTAGGTGGACCTCCAAGGTGTGTCTCTGACACTCCCTACACAACCTCAGGTGGATATCCAAGGTATGTCTCTGACACTCCCTACACAACCTTAGGTGGACCTCCAAGGTGTGTCTCTGACACTTCTTACACAACCTTAGGTGGACCTCCAAGGTGTGTCTCTGACACTCCCTACACAAGCCTAGGTGGACCTCCAAGGTATGTCTCTGACACTTTTTACGCAACCTTAGGTGGACCTCCAAGGTATGTCTCTGACACTCCCTACATAACCTTAGGTGGAGCTCCAAGGTGTGTCTTTGACGCTCCCTACACAACCTCAGACCTCCAAGGTGTGTCTCTGACACTCCCTACACAACCCTAGGTGGATGTTCAAGGTCTGTCTCTGACACTCCCTACACTCCATATTTCTGAATTGCATACGATGGGTCTCCCATAGGCTTGTTCGTTAATTAGCAACCATCAGCTACAGGGAGACCTTTAACCCTAAATGATCCTGATTGTTGACTTGGCAAAAAACCAAGCAAACAAAAATTCATCAAAAATATTGATTAAAAACTAAATTAAAAGAATGAAATAAACACCAAATCAGCTGCATTCGGTAATGATTTATCATAACAACTCAAAAATATCTTTCATTTATCCCATCAGTGCTAGTATAACAATAACCAAGAGGAAGAAAAGGATCACTCACTGTTTATAACATTTTAGGAAATACACTGCGTGGTCTTAAATACAAAAATAACTTTTTGCATTCGATATGTCACGAAATATTAATCCCGTTTTTTCTTTAAAAAGTGTGTATTTACTATTTACTGAGAATACACGGGAGACAATCGAAACATACTTTTGTCTCCCAACAACCTCTTGTTTTCATTAGATATCACTATAGACAAAAATAGTGTATCTTACTGAAGGCAGCGCAGGACAGTCTACTTGTACAGGTCTGAAGTCCCAACCGCCCAACATTGATACTTGTAACTGATTCCATATCGTGACTTCTATCTATATAGGAAAATTTCACCAAATACAAAAATGTCTTCAGTCATTATCAGTTCACTGGATCAAATTGAACAAGCATGTCGTAAATTATTCAGAATTATTGTCACATGTCCTTTTGAATATTCGAATGTCGACGACTTTTTACTTCTGTCAGAATTGACATACTCCATTTTTTTTTTCAACAGTTATCCTGTTTTATAAAGTGACGTTAAAATAAAATCACAAAACAAAACAGTATCTCCTACGTTCTGACTGTTCTGTCATTTCTGTCGTCTGAATTTTTATATTGCATATGGATACAATCAGAACCGTTACTGTTTTGATGATATGGAGACACGGCATCTTTCCGCAAATGATAAAACAATGACAGCATCGAACTCACATAACTGTCACCAAAAGACTCATTTAGATATTGATTGTCCCCATACCACATGTTCCATTCGTGTGAAAATCAAAAAAAGATTCTTTGTCTGTTTTTGCATCTACGTTGTAATCATTAATGCATTTGTTTGTGAGTAAACAGATCTTGATGAAGATCCTGATGACGAAACACTCCCAGAGTTACATCCAAAACATTTCATTCCCTTGATGACTATTACAGACTGGTCCGTTATCTTGTCGGTTCATCGACGCTGCTTCCAATATTTAAATGAAGGACTGTTTACCATCTTTACAAACAGACGAAGCTCCCTTCAATGTGAAAACATTCACAGAACTACATCGAATTAAATAAATAAAGTTAATTACTAGCTTTCGTTATTTTTGTCTTTTATTTGTTATTGTTTTTAATGGGGTGGGATTGTTTTTAATGGGGTTGGGGTTAATTTTAATGGGGATGGGGGTTGGATTTAATGGGGTGGGATTGTTTTTAATGGGGGTGAGGTTGATTTTAATGGGGATGGGGGTTGGATTTAATGGGGGTGGGGTTGTTTTTAATGGGGGTGGGGGTGTTTTTAATGGGGATGGGGGTTGTATTTGATGGAGTTGGGGCGTTGTTTTTAATGGGGGTGAGGTTGTTTTTAATGGGGATGGAGGTTGTTTTTTGGGGGGTTTGAAACTCTATGCTCCTTTTTCAACAAGCTATGTGTTTCATGTCATACAACATTCTTGAAAAATGTTAGTTAAATTCCTCTTTAGTTACAAATTCACTGGAATGGAATCGGACATGTCATGGCTGCAGTCTTTTTAACAAAACGACGGTTATCGGTGAATTAAATGTTTGTATTTCAGCCGCAAAATTTCTTTTTCTTTACAATGATAATGTGTTTTAGATGAAGACTTGGCTAAAGCTTGGGAGTAATTGGCTTTATATATGTATTGAGAACAGTTTAGATAAAAGTACTTATTGATTACTTGTGAACCTTGTATTGAAGAAGTTAGGGAGGAATATCCTTTTTTTAGCTCTGTTATTACCTGACTATCTAAGACTGTGTACTCATAGACCGGTTTCGTTTGGTCAGTTTGTGTCGAAGCACTCTAAGGTAAACAAGGCAAGTGACTTTGCAAAATGGACAAAATTGTTAAAGAGTGATTCATTATTTGAATAAGAAAGGTTTAGCTCCTGAGGATATCTATACTTATATGGTAACAACACTAGGAGATGGTGCTCCTTCATATGCTACAGTGAAAAGGTGAGTGGTGGAATTTAAGTGTGGCAGGAAGAGCCTTGGTGATGACGCCCGTAGTCCGGTGGCAGATACCATCAGGCATGCATCGCGGTCCGTGCAATATTATTTTGCTGTTTTTATATCTCTGATATGTGCTCTTTCAAAATCTGTATGATGCCACTCTGTCATCTTTGGGCAATCCGAACAATATGCAAATGATGGCCGCCATTACTGAAAATCTTGTTTTTATCAATTTCTCTGTAACAATGAATGGTATCGAAATCATTTTAGTGTCTATTCCCATGTTTTGAGGTATAAAGAATCAGGATAAGTCATTTCAGTGAAGAACGCACCAATCACTTTATGGTGAATAGACATACTGAGGCGGCCATAGTGAAAATCTTGTTTTTGTCAACATCTCAATAATTACACGTTGTATCAAAATAATTTTCGTGTTCATATCTATTGTCTTAGAGGTAAAGCATCTGATTAAGCCATTCCAGTATTTATCACAACTGTATTTTCTGCAAAGAATGGACAATCAACTTTAGTGTGTATATGAATCGTCAAAGAATATTCCAATTACTTGTGTTGATGCATGTTGTCAGTCACCAAACACGTCAGAAACATTGTCACTGTCATCAACACGTCGGATGTGCTCATTCTGGCAGTGTACTTCCCCGTGACATACACAAAACATCGTGCACGGCAGATAAACTTTGTAGCATCCACACATTGTTGTCGAACAGGGATTATCCGTAGCACAACCACACCTTATCTTTTCCAGCACCTCCGATGGAGCAACACTGACGTCTGGTTTGCGCTGTTACCTGGGTCAAGCATCGGGTACGGTCGTCACGTTCCGAACTGGACAGGATCCAATGCTGGAGGTTCTGAATCAAGAGCAGACTTCCAAATGGAGGTTTGGATGTGCGCCCACAGTTTCTGCTTTACATGGCCGTTACAGCTGAGATTATCAATGATGGAGATCCTCGTTTGGTCATTTCGTGGAAACCAGTTGTGTGGTTTTTAATGGAATTGCCTAATCTGATTCTGTGCCCCTCAAAACATGGGGGTAGACACCAAAATCGTTTTGACACCATTTGAAGTTACTAAGATATTGATGAAAGCAAGATTTTCAGTAATGGCGGACTTCTTTTGCATGTTGTACGGATTGCCCAAGGATGACAGAGTGGCATCATACAGATTCTTGAAGAGCACACTTCAGAGGAATAGAAAAGGCAAAAATACTTTGTACGGACCGCATTGCAAGGTTCTCCAAATATCTTTGGTTTGGCAACCGGACACCCGTCCTGGAAGACCTGTCACTGTTGCAACCCCAGAAATGGTCAATAAGGTCCAATATATTGTTTTTGTTGACAGACGAGTTACAGAAAAATATATATTTAGTACAGTTGGGATTTCACATGTAAGAGTAAATTTCATTCTTACAGAAGATCTTGCAATGAGAAAGCTCTCAGGCCGTTGGGTACTAAGATTTCTTAGAGGCAGATCCTGCTAACATTTTGCAGATGTTTGTGAATATGGTAAAAAACAGTCTAAACAATGAAAGCACTGCCAAAGAAGATATAGACTGTTCCTTAAGCTGGAAAGGTTACGACCTCGTTTTCTATGATGGAGGTATTTTGATGATAGAATATCTGAAAAGGGACAAGCAACCGAAAATAATAAACTCAGGCGCCGCGGAATACTCAGTGAAGTTGTATCCTGTTCACAAGTCAGTAATAAGTATGACTGCTATTAACTGTGGCTTTGAATTGATTGAGAATCTGTCTTATTCGCCTAATCTCGCTTCATCAGACTTTTTCTTTTCAGAATTGAAACCGACCTTTCCCGGTACCCACTTTCGGTCAGATGCTGACGTAATACATGCAATGGGGGACTTTCCAAGAGGGCAAGGAAAGGACTTCCTTTAAAATGGCATTGAGGCTCTTGAATATACATATATAGATACTGAAGGAGATTATGTCGAAAAATAACGAATACGTCCGCTAAACGTCAAAACCCTTAAAGGCTTACATCAATAAACTACATACAGATATTAAAGTTGTAAACGTGTTAGATGTTGCTGTGATGTTCGGTATATGTGAACACTACTCCGGATGATATAGTCGGATTTCCTAACTTAACTGTCATCGGAACTACATGTACAGCGAAATCATAAGTAAGTAATATACTTACCTTGATTTGTTTTTAACTTTAGGTAAGATACAACTTTGTACAATTGAGTGAGCAGTTCCGAGACTCCAAGGATAACACACCAGGCAGGGGTACACACGTCGTTAGGAACAATCCAACGATCCACATTTATCGAGTCAACAGATACAATCCACCGATCCACATTTATCGAGTCAACAGATACAATCCATCGATCCACATTTATCGAGTCAACAGATACAATCCAACGATCCACATTTATCGAGTTAACAGATACAATCAACTGATCCACATTTATCGAGTCAACAGATATAATCCACCGATCCACATTAATCGAGTCAACAGATACAATCCATCGATCCACATTTATCGAGTTAACAGATACAATGTACCGATCCACATTTATCGAGTCAACAGATACAATCCACCGATCCACATTTATCGAGTTAACATATACAAGTCACCACCCCAGCAACAAAAAGGTGAATAACAGAGACAACAATAGGCAGGAAGACGATTTGTTTTGTAGTAAGTACACGAATCTTTAAGTTTTACACACTTTATTTCAAATAACGAAAATAATGTCACAGACTCCCGTTTTCATTTACCGAAAACAAAATAATGTTATCGATGAAGCCAGATACACATAAACGGATATCGCTTTTTATGACCCATGTGTCGTGTGAAATAATACCTGTCACGTGGTTACGTCAGAAATGACGCACGTCACGTGATAACTTATAGAATGACACACGTCACGTGATACAACACGTCATGTGGTGATATACCAGATGGCACTTATCGAACGTGGTGACGTATAAGCTGACACGAACCACGTGATAACGTATGAGATGATGACACTTGCCATGTGTTAATCCATAGAATTGTAATTCTCGTGGTAACACGAAAGGCGACACATTTGAAGTGTTAATACAGAACTTCCTACCAGGCGACACACCACAACATCCTCCGCTGTCAAAGCTAGAACATCTTTATACAGATGTTATATATCGGTGAGAGGTGTCAGCTAAGTAAATTAATATAAGGCAGTTTGAAAGTATCCGATACTGTCGGCATGACATTAAGGTCGATCCTGTTTATACTAACCGCCACGTTAAAAGCAGTGTTATCTGACTGAAAGTTATCAATGTTTACTGATAGTGTATAGAACACAGATTCTCTCATAAACACATACACGTCCTAAAGGCGCACACTATCACACTCTTCACCGGGATGAATAAAGGAGCTTAGTAGGAGGATTGACCGAGAAAGGAAAATATAGTAGATAACATGCAAACACGTTGAATAGAATCACTCACGGAGTTTACACAAGTAAAAACAACATCGAATCAGAGCATATAGTAAACATGTACGTCAACGACAAGAAGTCTTTCTTAAATCATTACACTTATATAGTTGTAGGATCACACAAAGTTAAATGATGTGTTGTCTGCAACGTCTGCACGATAGCAAAACTGCATGACTGTGTATATATATGTGTGTGTGGGTGTGGGTGCGTGTGTGTGGGTGGGTGTGTGTGTGAGGGTGTGTGTGTGTGTGTGTGTGTGTGTGTGTGTGTGTGTGTGTGTGTGTGTGTGTAGGTGTGTGTGTGTGTGTGGTGTGTGGTGTGTGTGTGTGTGTGTGTGTGTGTGTGTGTGTGTGTGTGTGTGTGTGTGTGTGTGTGTGTGTGTGTGTGTGTGTGTGTGTGTGTCTGTGTGTGTGTGTGTGTGTGTGTGTGTGTGTGTGTGTGTGTGTGTGTGTGTGTGTGTGTGTGTGTGTGTGTGTGTGTGTGTGTGTGGGTGTGTGTGTGTGTGTGTTTTTGTGTGTGTGTGTCTGTGTAGGTGTGTGTGTGTGTGTGTGTGTGTGTGTGTGTGTGTGTGTGTGTGTCATTCAAAATCATAATGTCAGAAAGAATATTGTAATTTCTTTCTGTATTATTCTCATTTTTCTATTATTTTGTAACATACTATATTTTATCAAGTAATTTTTAAGTGTTATGTTTATTTCACTGGAGATTTCGAAGGTACAGTTCGCTAACATCTATTCCTGTTACTTATTCTTTGTAACGTGTGGTTTTACACATCAGAGAGTTAATTAACGCAGGATCCAGTGGTATTTCGAAAAATTTCGAATTAAAAATGACTTTTATAATTACCTACCATATTTGGTATGGCTTTCGTCACTAGATACTGTAAGATGTGTGTACAGATGAGGACATGGTATGCACGATGTGAACATAAGGTTTTGGTGCAATGTACGTAACCACAACTGTATATCAAAATAACTAAAACATAGGAAACTGACCAACAGCAAATCTGAACACTGAACATATAACTTTACACATATCTCAACACTGAACATATAACCTTACACACAACACAACATTGAATACATAACCTTACACACATGTCAACACTGAACATATAACCTTACACACATCTCAACACTGAACATACAATCTTACACACATCTCAGCACTGAACATATAACCTTACACACATCTCTATTGAACATATAACCTTACACACATCTCAACACTGAACATATAACCCTACACATCTCAACACTGAACATATAACCTTACACACATCTCAACACTAAACATATAACCTTACACACAACACAACACTGAACATATAACCTTACACACAACACAACACTGAACATATAACCTTACACACTTCTCAATACTGAACATTTAACCTTACACACATCTCAATACTGAACATATAACTTTACACATCTCAACACTGAACATATAACCTAACACACATCTCAACACTGAACATGTAACCTTACACACATCTCAATTCTGAACATATAACCTTACACACATCTCAATACTGAACATATAACCTTACACACATCTCAACACTGAACATATAACCTTACACACATCTCAACACTGAACATATAACCTTACACACATCTCAATTCTGAACATATAACCTTACACACATCTCAACACATGTAACCTTACACACATCTCAACACTGAACATATAACCTTACACACATCTCAACACTGAACATATAACCTTACACACATCTAAATACTGAACATATAACCTAACACACATCTCAACACTGAACATGTAACCTTACACACATCTCAACACTGAACATGTAACCTTACACACATCTCAACACTGGACACATAATCTACACACATCTCAACACTGAACATATAACCTTACACATCTCAACACTGAACATATAACCTTACACACATGTCAACACTGAACATATAACCTTACACACATCTCAACACTGAACATATAACCTTACACACAACACAATACTGAACATGTAACCTTACACACATCTCAACACTGAACATATAACCTTACACACAACACAACACTGAACATATAACCTTACACACATCTCAACACTGAACATATAACCTTACACACATCTCAACACTGAACATATAACCTTACACATCTCAGTACTGAACATATAATCTTACACACATCTCTATTGAACATATAACCTTACACACATCTCAACACTAAACATATAACCTTACACATCTCAACACTGAACATATAACCTTACACTCATCTCAACACTGAACATATAACCTTACACACATCTCAACACTAAACATATAACCTTACACACAACACAACACTGAACATATAACCTTACACACAACACAACACTGAACATATAACCTTACACACTTCTCAATACTGAACATTTAACCTTACACACATCTCAATACTGAACATATAACCTTACACTCATCTCAACACTGAACATATAACCTAACACACATCTTAACACTGAACATGTAACCTTACACACATCTCAATTCTGAACATATAACCTTACACACGTCTCAACGCTGAACATGTAACCTTACACACATCTCAACACTGAACATATAACCTTACACACATCTCAACACTGAACATATAACCTTACACACATCTCAACACTAAACATATAACCTTACACACTTCTCCATACTGAACATATAACCTTACACACGTCTCAACGCTGAACATGTAACCTTACACACATCTCAACAATGAACATATAACCTTACACACATCTCAACACTGAACATATAACCTTACACACATCTCAACACTGAACATATAACCTTACACACATCTCAACACTGAACATGTAACCTTACACACATCTCAATTCTGAACATATAACCTTACACACATCTCAACACTGAACATATAACCTTACACACATCTCAATTCTGAACATATAACCTTACACACATCTCAACACTGAACATATAACCTTACACACATCTCAATTCTGAACATATAACCTTACACACGTCTCAACGCTGAACATATAACCCTACACATCTCAACACTGAACATATAACCTTACACACATCACAATACTGAACATATAACCTTACACACAACACAACACTGAACATATAACCTTACACATCTCAGTACTGAACATATAACCTTACACACATCTCTATTGAACATATAACCTTACACACATCTCAACACTGAACATATAACCCTGCACATCTCAACACTGAATATATAACCTTACACACATCTCAACACTAAACATATAACCTTACACATCTCAACACTGAACATATAACCTTACACACATCTCAACACTGAACATATAACCTTACACACATCTCAACACTAAACATATAACCTTACACACTTCTCCATACTGAACATTTAACCTTACACACATCTCAATACTGAACATATAACCTTACACACATCTCAACACTGAACATATAACCTTACACACATCTCAACACTGAACATGTAACCTTACACACATCTCAATTCTGAACATATAACCTTACACACATCTCAATACTGAACATATAACCTTACACACATCTCAACACTGAACATATAACCTTACACACATCTCAACACTGAACATATAACCTTACACACATCTCAATTCTGAACATATAACCTTACACACGTCTCAACGCTGAACATGTAACCTTACACACATCTCAACACTGAACATATAACCTTACACACATCTCAACACTGAACATATAACCTTACACACATCTAAATACTGAACATATAACCTAACACACATCTCAACACTGAACATGTAACCTTACACACGTCTCAACGCTGAACATGTAACCTTACACACATCTCAACACTGAACATATAACCTTACACACATCTCAACACTGAACATATAACCTTACACACATCTAAATACTGAACATATAACCTAACACACATCTCAACACTGAACATGTAACCTTACACACATCTCAACACTGGACACATAACCTTACACACATCTCAACACTGAACATATAACCTTACACACATCTCAATACTGAACATATAACCTTACACACATCTCAACACTGAACATATAAC